CCTTTTATCCTTGGGACAGGGAGGGTTCTCATTTCAGTGCCTGGCCCCTTTCCTGCTGGGACCTGGGACTCGTGCGTTGGTGCTGCTGGGCACACACTGGGCACATTCTGGGCACATTCACATTCTGGGCACACTCTGGGCACACTCTGGGCACACTCTGGGCACACTCTGGGCACACTCTGGGCTCATTCTGGGCTCATTCTGGGCACATTCTGGGCACATTCTGGGCTCATTCTGGGCACACTCCGGGCACATTCTGGGCACATTCTGGGCACACTCTGGGCTCATTCTGGGCACACTCTGGGCACATTCTGGGCACATTCTGGGCACACTCTGGGCACATTCTGGGCACATTCTGGGCTCATTCTGGGCTCACTCTGGGCTCATTCTGGGCTCATTCTGGGCACACTCGGGGCACATTCTGGGCACACTCTGGGCACATTCTGGGCACATTCTGGGCACATTCTGGGTACATTCCGGGCACATTCAGCCCTGCTCTCTGCACACACCTCACCCTGCCAGGACATGGTTTGCCCACTGCTGCAGGGACTTTGCTCCAGCACGAGCTCTCTCTGCACGTGCCATTGCTTCCTGTGCTTTTATCACTGTGTGATTTACTTTTTACAGGTTTTTCCCAATTTATTTGGCATGTGCTGGATGTTCCATGCTTCAGTGTATAAACAACAGCTTTGCAAATTGCTGGGATTCTTCCTCCACCAGGCAGACATGCAGCCTCTCACCTCGCTGGGGTCTTGCTGAATTGGTGACACCAATTCCTCAGCTGCTTGTTCAACATTTGGTAAATCCCCCCTGAAAATGGGACGGTTTTGGTGGGGCTGGGGAAGCTCTCCTGGTTTACAGATTTGCTCCCATGAACTGCAGAGGGGCAGCAGAAGGAAGCAGAGCCCCATGTGCTGCCCTGGGTAGCAGTGTGCCATGGGTACCAGTGTCCCCTGCAGCACGTGTGCCATGAAAGTGCTTGGCAGGACAGATAACACCGTGCCAGGGTGCTCAGGGCAAAATTCAGTGCCAGGAGATCAGCCAAGATCTTGGGGGTGAAGAAAACAAACCCTTCTGTGTCCCCTGGCAGAAAACAAGAGCTGAGGCACGCTCATGTGCACCTTGTTTTCACCAGTCCCACCGCACACGGAATTGCTCTGCAGGTATTTGCAGAGATGTGGCTGGGAGAATAAATTAGCAATCTCTGTGGAAGATCCAAGCTCAGAAAAGTATCTGCCATGGAAACCGAGACTRAAGCTGATACTTTAGGAGTAAGACATCAGAAAGCTGCCAAGATCAAGCACGCATTTCCTTGTGAGCTCATCTTGCACTGAGCAGGAACAAATGTCTCTGCCCCTTCAAGCTTCTCTGCCCACTTTGGATAAATTTAGTTGTGCTTGGCTCTGACGGAGCGATGAAGCATGCCTCGTCTGTTTTTTTCCAGTAATTTTTGTTTATATCTGTCTTTTAATACTGCTTTCCCAGTAATGCTTAGGAGGAATTATTCATGTGTTGGATTGGAGCGCAACTTCAGAGAAGATGTGATTTCTATCATCGTTCTCCTGCTATTATTGTGTAATTGCTTTGAGAGACGCAGACGCTCCATTTCACCCGTTAATGGGAGGATTAATTCCCATCCCCGCTGCTTTCAGAGAGGC